GATTAAGCTTTCAGATATGTATGTTTATACACACCGAAAACCAAAAACCAAACTCATTGCCATGGAATCGGATCTGACTCATAGAGACTCCTCCTTGGGTTTCCAAGGTGGTATCACTATGCAGGGAGCTCTGGTAGCATAGTGCTAAGGCACTTGACTGCTAACCAGAAGGTTGGGCAATCTACTTGTGTAGTGATACTGCCTTGGCAATCCAAGGAGGGGTTGCTATGAGTCAGGTCTAACTCGACGGCACATAACAACAACAACAAATCACTATGCAAAATAGTGAAAAATAGATTGCCCAATCTTCTTTCTGAGGAGTGGCTGGTGGGTTTGAACTGCCAGCGTTCTGGTTAGCAGTCAAATGCCTTAGGCCCTATCCAGCAATACGAAAGTTTAAGATACTTCAACTCCAGGAATAATGTTAGTAATTAAGGGCCCCAAATCACTTCTGCAGATAGAGACTTCAAAGCATGAAGCTGTCTTTGTAAGTCAGAATTTGGAGAAAAATATCCTTCCCTTTGTGCCTGGAATCATAAATCCTGTGGTGCTGTCAGCTTCATTTTAGTAACACTGCCGTTTGGAAAATGAAAAACATTAAGTTAGAACAAAATTGCTGAACAGAGAAGAGAAAGGGTTAGTTTAAGGACTCTAATGTTGACACTTGTTTATAAAAGATGTGTTTGTTGATTTAGCTTGGAATCTATTTACTTTGGTTTCAGATATGTCTAACAAATTTGTTTCTCTGATTTTCTAACCTATAAACCAAAAAACCAAACCCACTGCTGCAACTGAGTGGAATCAAAGTTTAGCCTGCATCCCTGGTTGAAGACAGGTAAGTAAACATGATAACTCTGTTCCTTAAGAACTGAATAGGATGAAAGCTCAACTACTCCCCCCACCCTGGTTAAGACAGAGAGGACCCCAGTTGGAGACAAATGAGCAAACATAGTAACTCAGTTCCTTAAGAACTGAATGGAACAAAAAGTCAATTTACACATTCTTTCCATGCTATTCCCCTAGAAACAGGTGATAGCACATTAATGTATCTCAGGAGACAACTTGAAAATTAACTTTGGCCCACGGACATGCGCAGTGAGACAAACAGGAACAAAGTTGTTGGCAACTGATATTCTCCCCTCTGCCTAAGTCCCAATCAGCTTGTGACAGGAAGCTGGTGTGACTCATCTGGTGTGCAAGTGCACTGTGTTAAAAAATGACTGTCCCTTTAAACTGAGGTGAAGGAAATTTCAGCCAATCGTCAGCTCATTCACACCCCTATCCCTGAAGCTTTTATGAATATGTATAACCCCCTCTCCTGAAACTTACAAAAATAATTTGATCTGGATTCGGGGAGTCAGATTTGGGTACGGACCCCTGTCTCCTTGCATTGCTGCTTTGCAATGAATACTTTTCTCTCCTCTTAATCACTCGGTGTGTAAACTGTTTTGCCCTGACTGCGCACTGGGCAGTGATCCATGTTTGGTCCAATTTCACTGCCATCAAGTTTATTTCAACTCAGAGCAACTCCCATTGGGTTTTTAAGTAGTTAAACCTTTACGGAAGTAGATCACTCAGTCTTACTCCCATGGAGTGGCTGGTGGGTTTCAACCACTGGCCTTATCCACTACGCCACCAGAACTCCTTTTTTTCTAACCTATGTTATGTGCCGTCGAGTCGGCCCCGACTCATAGCGACCCCTTCTTGGGTTTCCGAGGCAGTATCACTACGGAAGTAGGATTGCCCAACCTTCCTTCCGAGGAGTGGCTGGTGGATTTGAACCGCCAGCCGTCTGGTTAGCAGGCAAGTGTCTTAGCCACTATGCTAACCTATAGCAGATGGAAAACACTGGAAAGAGTGTGAGCTCAGGGCCCTTTTAGAGATAGCCTGAGAACTCAAGAGAGAACTGGCAGGGCAAGCAGGAGAAAGGGGCAGAAACACAGCAAAGCTGTGGGAGGGAGAAACTGCTTGCATTCCTGCTTAGCCTGAGGGCATCCCTATCATCTGAGGATCTAAATCATCTGGAAAATATTGCAGAATGCTCTGTCCTCTGTTTGGATGAGAGGGAAGAATGTGACTGCTACTGTGACTTTCATCTAAAAGCTGCAATTGAAGGAGTTACTATTGTATGAGAGATTCCTGTACAAAGAGCTCCTCTTTCAATGGCATTAGGCAAATGAGAAGTGCTTCTCCTGCCTGCTCAACCTGAATGTGAGTGTCATATATGGCCCCAGGTGAGGGAGGCACAGTTAGAACCTATGCTGGGAAGGCTGCCAACATGGCATAGATGGATGCTGATTTTAAACCAAGACTAATTCAAGCTCTGGGTGTTCAAGTCTGGAGTATATGACTGAAATCAGCTACAGGTGGTACAGGAGACCCACAGGTGAGAAGGCTGGTGTGGGGACTGGCAGGCTATAACTGAGATTATTTGGGGGGAATGCCATTCCCAACACTGTCACAGACCTCACTTGGTCTACAATAACAGTGACCTGTTACATTTGCAAGTTCCTTCTACATACCCTCACTGGACCCACACAGCACCCTGCACTGAGGCCTGGCCAGTGGCCAGGCGATCACTCACATCGTACATTGGCAAGCTGTCTTGGATCTTTTTAGTCTGGCCTCACATCCAGATTTCCAGTGGCTCTGCACTTATAACACAAATGGTGGTTACACACATGAACTTCACCAGATGGAATACATAGGAATCAGATTGACAAGGTCTGTGGCAAGAGGCAATGGAGAAGCTCAATATCTTCAGCCAAAACAAGTTCAGGAGCTGTTGTGGAACAGACTATCAAGTGCTTAGATGCAAGTTCAACTTGAAGCGGAAGACAATTAAAAAAGTCCATGAGAGCCACAATATGACCTTGACTATACCCCTCCTGAATTTAGAGACCATCTAAAGAATCGATTTGATGCACTGAACACCAAAGACTGAAAATCAGAGGAATTGTGGGATGACATCAAGACATCATCTATGAAGAAAGCAAAAGGTCATTAGAAAGACAGAAAAGGAAGAAAAGACCAAAATGGATGTCAGAAGAGACTCTGAAACTTGCCCTTGAATGGAGAGTAGTTAAAGCAGATGGAAGAATTGACAGGATAAAAAGAGATGAAGATTTCAAAGAGCAGCTTGAGAAGATAAAGTCAATTATTATAATGAAATGTGCTAAGAGTTGGAGCTACAAAACCAAAAGGCAAGAACACACGCAACATTTCTCAAGCTGAAAGAACTGAGGAAAAAATTTAAGCCTCAAATTGCAATATTGAAAGATTCCATGGGTGTATGTTGAATGATGCAGGAAACATCAAAAGAAGATGGATGGAACACAGAGTCATTACACCAGAAAGAACTGGTAGATGATCATCCATTTCAGGAGGTGGTATATGATCAAGAACCAATGGTATTGAAGGAAGATGTTGAAGCTGCATGGAAGGAATTGGTGAAAAACAAGGCTCCAGGAATTGACAGAATACTCATGAGGTGTTTCAACAAACAGATGTCATGCTAGAGGCACTCACTCAGCTGTGCCAAGAGATTTGGAAGACAGCTATTTGAGAACTATGTGACCAACTGACTGGAAGAGATCCATATTTGTACCCATTCCAGAGAAAGGTGATCCCTCAGAATGAGGAAATTATCGAACAATATCATTGATATCACATGCAATAAAATCTTACTGAAGATAATTCAAAAATGATTACAGCAGTATATTGACAGAGAACTTCCAGAAATGCAAGCTGGATTCAGAAGGGGACATGGAGCAAGGGATATCATAGTTGATGTCAGATGGATCTTGGCTGAAAGCAAGGAATACCAGAAAGATGTTTAGTTGTGTTTTACTGGCTGTGCAAAAGCATTTGATTGTGTGGGTCATAACAAATTGTGAATAACATTGAGAATAATGGGAATTTCAGAACACTTAATTGTACTCATGAGGAACCTGTGCATAAACTGGGAGGCTGTTGTTGAAACAGAACAAGGGGATCCTACATGGTTTAAAATCAGGAAGGCAGTGCATCAGGGTTGTATCCTTTCACCATACTTACTCAATCTGTATGCTGAGCAAATAATCCAAGAAGTTGGATGATATGAAGAAGAGCATGGCATCAGGATTGGAGGAAGAATGATTAACAATCTGAGATATGCAGATGACACAACTTCGCTTGCTGAAAGTGAGGATGACTTGAATCACTTACTGATGAAGATTAAAGGCTACAGTTTGCAGTATGGATTACACCTCAATATAAAGAAAACAAAAATCCTCACAACTGAACCAATAAGCAGCATCAGGATGAATGGAGAAAAGATTGAAGTTGTCAAAGACTTCATATTACTTGGTTGTACAATCAATGCCAATGGAAGCAGCAGTCAAGACACCAGATGACGTATTGCATTGGGCAAATCTGTTGCAAACAACCTCTTTCAAGTGCTGAAGAGCAAAGGTAACTCCTTGAAGACTAAGATATGCCTAACCGAAGCCAGTATATTTTCAATCACCTCTTATGCATGTGAGAGCTGGACAGTGAATAAGGAAGACTGAAGAAAAGTTGATGCTTTTGAGCTATAGTGTTGGAGAAGAATGCTGAAAGTACCGTGGACTGCCAGAATGAACAAATCTGTCCTGAAAGAAGTGCAGCTGGAATGCTCCTTGGAAGCAAGAATGGCCAGATTTTGTCTCACCTACTTTGGTCATGTTGTCAGAAGGGACCATTCTCTGAAAAAGGATGTCATGCTTGGTAAAGTGCAGGGTCAACAAAAGAAGGGAAGGTCCTCAACAAGATGGATTGACATGGTGGCTGCAGTGATGGGCTCAGGTATGGTAGGGATTGTGAGGCTGGCACAAGAATGGGCAGTGTTTCATTCTATTGTACATAAGGTCAGAGACCACTCAATGGTACATAACAACAACAACAACTGCACTTAACTAGCACTGTGAAGCATCCCCCCTACTAGTCGCCAGTTCTCTATGACCTCACTTGGAAACACTTACCTAGAGCCAGATGTCACAGCTGCCCTGCAGAGAGGTGGGTGGCCAGGTGGGGTCAGGAGGACAGGGAGGCAGAGCCAGGCTGGATGGCACCTGTGATCTGCCCAAAGCACCTGGGGCTGGACCCAAGAGTCTGTCCTGGCATTGCCTTGGGGGCTCTGCTGGGCTGTGGCCTGTGCCCAGGGAGCTTCTCTCAGAGTCAAGAGAGGGGAAGGGTCTCAGCCATGGTGAGTGGGCAGCAGTTTCTCTCAGATGGCTAGCCAGATGCCAGAGTCCTGGCAACCCTCCTCTTGCTTTCCTGCAAGGCTCTTGGGTCTGTAGCCCCACAGGCATCCACTGTTGCTGCTCAGCAGCTGAGCTCATGTCTGCACTGTAAGAGCCCAATGTAGGCAAGGGTCCATGCAGAAGTTCCTGGGAAGGACGAGCAGAGCTCCCTGAAAGCTGGTGCACACCCAGACAGTGAGGTGGAGACTCTTGACCTCTAGGTATTTCTTCTGGTGTCCCTGGTGCCCCCTGAACCAACAGGGGCTCACCTCTGCCAAAACTGGGAGGAATTTCTCCAGCTGGCCGTGTCCATGGAAACCAGGAGTCAACCACCCACTGGTGGCTGAAGGGGTCAGGCCAGGCCTGTCCTGCTCCCTGCCCTGACCCCACCTCCATCGGGACCACACCTGGCTGGCCCTGGATCGAAGAATCCCAAATACTGCCTGAGAGATGGGAGCCACAGGGGCTGACACAGAAGGCAGGATCTGAGGCCACCTGACACTGACCACTGTGTGTGAGTGTCTGAGGCACAGATTCTTGGCAAAAATCCAAAATACCAGGGGCTGGATGAGCCAGGTGCTCAGGGACATTTTCTCCTGAAGAGAGTGCAGCTGTGCAGCTTGGTTTAAACATTAGGGCAGCCCGGCTAGGGCTGGAGGCCTCAGCCAGTGGGCTGGTAACATCTCTGTGGTTGGATATGGCTTGCTTCTGGCTCATACCAAAGTTCAAAGATCCTGCCTGGGCGTTCCCAAGCTGCTGCTGTGGAGTGTTTCGAAGGGGGCTCTCGAGTGTGGGGCTAGGGGTGGTTGTGCCAGAGATAAGAAGATGTTGGTGATGGGCCTGTGGGTGGCTGGGCCCAGTGCCTAGGTTCTGAGGTGGGCTCACCTCCATGGCTTGAACATCCAAGCCCAGAGAAGACTGAGGCCTCGGGGTTGGTTGGGAAGTTGTGCTGGCCAGTGGGGATAAGGTCACATGTGTGTCATCATGAAAAAGTGCCCTCTTCTCCCTCTGGGGCTCTACTCCCTGGCTGGGTGGCAGCAGGTGGCAGTTCTGAGGCCCCATAGGGTCTGAATCAACCTGGAGAAGGTTCTTTTCCCATGGATGCTGCTCAAGGTCAGCCACCCCCAGGTGTTGGAGGGTGAAGCAGAGGTCTGGCTGTTCTTCCATGTCCTTCTCCAGCAGGGTTTCGAAGAGGGTCAAAAGGGAGCTGCCTTCCTTCCCCTCTTCTTCCTCCTTGTCCTCACATTTATCATCAGGCATCCACTTACCCAAGGGTGAGCCTTGGGGCTTCGGGGCAATGCAAGACAAGTACATGGATTCATTTTGTTGCATCATGGCTCCGAGGAGTGATTCTGGATGCACAGGGCCCTGGTCAGTGGGAAGGCCTTTCCTTGCCCTGGACCTCTTCTTCCTGGCTGGGACAGTGGTGAGGAGGCCTGGGAGGCTGCTCTCATACAGGATGGCCTCCCCTGTGGTGAAGGTGAAGGGCAGCTGCAGGGCCCGCTTTTGCAGGTGTTCCTCCCCCTCCGCATTCCTGAAGTCAAACAGAATCACAAGACTTGTTTTTGGTTACCTGGCACTTCTGGGAATGATAATACGAATGAGAAAGGAGGTGTCCAAACCAGGGGACAGTCGTGGCCAGGTAACTGAACAGGTGAGCAAGAGACAGGACATCATCTGTTCTGGCTTTTTCAACAAGAGGAATAAAGGGGACAAGCCATGAAATTTAACTACTTCCTCTCTTGTATTTTTTGGAGTACAAAATTATTGGCTAAACTATTTCAGATTCTGAAATAATCTCAGAGAAAATTGCTTATATATGTGGTGAATATTCCAAAAACCCATGTATAAATTCCCCAAACTTCAAGTTTACTTTGAAAAGGTAAGTCATTCCATAGAGGTAAGATGACATATGCAATTGTTTTCCACTGGGAAAAATAATGTTTCCCTTCCTTTCTATCCTCCCTCCCTCCCAATAGATTCATGATACATGACTGCTATTAAGATGCCCTGACAGTCACATAACACTAGACCCGGAAAGGTGACAACCTTGCTTTGTTGGCCTGACCTTACTTGGGATCCCATATTTGGCTTAGACCCTCATAAAGGAAAACTGACTGAACTAGAATAGAATGTCTATGGTGGAAGCTGACCTGGACAGTATAGGCCCAGGAAATCCTCTCACAGAAGGGACATTTGAAGAAGCTGGGTATTTTACCAATCTGATATCAATATAGTCATTCCAGCCTTCTTATGCTTACTATTCATATTAAGTTTCTTTTACCATCCAATTATGTTTTTAGCCTCTCTGTGTCTTTGTATGTAAAATGTACCTCTTATAGGTGGCATCTGAGTCCTGGGTTTTTTGTGTTTCTTTTCTCCTATATCCATTTTAACAATCTTTATCTTTTACATGGAGTGGTTTGTTGGTTAACATTTAATGGAATTATTGATATGGTTAGATTTCAGTCTTCTATTCATTATTTGCTTTCTATTTGTCCAGTTTTTTGTTCCTCTCTTTTTTTCCTGCCTAGATTTTTTTTTTAAAGTAATCCATTTTCACTTATTTATTGGCTATTTGCCTATTCCTTTTGCATTATATTTTTTGTGGTTGCTTTAAGAATTACAATATATCCTTAACTTTTCACTGTCTACTTAGAGTTAATGTTGTGTCAGTCACTTCACATAAAATATATGCACTTTGTAATTGTATAGACCCTCAACCCCTGTCCTTTATGTTGAAGCTGTCATATATATTACATCCACATGCTATAAATTCCAAATGCATTACAATTTTTGTTTTAAACAATCCCATGTATTTAAAAGAGCAGGAAAATAATATTTTTATCTTTCATATTTATACACATTTATCATTTCCCATCCTCTTCATTCCATAACTTGGAAGGGAAGAACATTTTGTGGCTATATAAAAACAGTAACAATAAAACCTTGTCTGTATAGCATATTGCAGTTTACAAATTATGTTACAGATTGATGCAAGGATATGAAAGATTAAATAGTGAAACCCTAGTCTTCTGGAAGTGGTAGTGGACTTTCTATGTTACCCATGTATGTCATAGGGGCTGTTATCAGCCTGTCCCACTGAGAAGAGCCTAAGAGGTGACAACTGATTCCACCTTCCTCAAAAGGCCACAGGGCACACATTCACAGCAAAGGCAGGTAAGCAAGAGGTGTGGAAGGTAGGCTTAAGGAAGTCATTTCTGAGGAGAAGTATAAAGTCAGATTTCTGCAGAGGGCAATGGAAGATAGCAACTTCCTTTGAAAATAGTTAACAGAAAGTTCTAGGCTCAGAATTTGAATTCTGGGCAAATAGAACCTGGGAATTCTCTGTAATTTACCCATGGCCTCAATACCCACAGACATTTTGGTGCAGGCAAAGATGGGAGGATGGAAGTCCAGCTGGGTGATGAAATTCCATATGCACATGCTCCAGTAACTGCATAGCAGAAGAGAGGTGGGCTCACTAGAAAACTCTGCTGGCCACACCTGGAAAAGGCCTTAACTGGGCTGGTTCCTGTGCCCATTCATGCCTCACAATGACCCTCAGGAGGGGTACTTTCCCTAGTCTGTGCTCTCCCTACCCTGGAAGGGGCACTCTGTCCTACTCAGGAAGCTGAGGCTTCTGGGGACTAAGCTTCTTGTCTGAGGTCCAATAGCTGGCGAACAGTGGCACCAGCCTCAGAGGATGCAAAAGGACTTCCAAGGTAGCCTCATCATGGGAGGATGGTGCTCACATCACAGGGCCTGCTCTTATTTATGTCAGGCTGCACTTAGGCCAGGCCCACTTAGGCAGTCACAATGGGGCCTTTAGGACTCTCATTTACATGTTTTCATGCTTATACTTACCTTAGACTCTCCCACACGACAGAGTCCTCATGCTTTCTTTTAAGTCAGGTTTAGTATTTCCATGGGGGTTGTTCATTGTTTATTTTGGGTCTCCTCACAGGGACCTAGCTTATGTAGGGCTGCACTTACGTTAGGGCCCTCTGTCTGGCAACAATGCATTCTGGCTGGCCACCACGGAACACCAGGTGGGCGTTGGACTGCACCCACAGCCAGCCGGCCTGCTTGGTGAGTAGCCGGAAGACTGTGAGTCCACTCTCACCAGTTTGTATCACTGCAGGAAGACAGAGAGAAACAGGGGCTAGCATTGAGCTGTGGCTTCCCACCTGTCCACTTGTCCACCTGCAGAGCTTTTTGGAGCCAGTTCTGTCATGGGAGGAGGCAGGAGGTGGATGAGGAACCCCTAGAAGTGTAAGAGGACTTTTTCTCCCCCATTCTCCTACACACATGCACACACACAAACACACACAAGGTTGGGCCCTGAGGGAATTCCCCCAAACTCACAACGCAAGTGATTCTCAGCACAGTACATCATGTCAGCTGCGTGGATGAACTGGTAACCTGATCCTCTCCTGCAGAGTTCACTCTCGGTGTAGCCCAGGACCACCTTGCCTCTGTGTAGAAGAGACACTGCATATCTTTATCCTATAGCCCCTCAGTGAGATGCCTAAGGGAACAAAGGGCCCCTGCCCCACCTCCACCTTCACAGCTCCCAGTTCATGCTGAAACTGGCTTTTCAGCCCTGTGCCCACCCATGGGATCTCAACCAGCATTCAAGTGTCAATGGACTATCTTCCCTGGGCCTCCTTTGGACTCTCCAGGCCTGGAAGGGGCACTTCTCTTACAGCAGGGCTGGGGAAAGCCTTGACAATGAAAGGACTGTGGCAACCTTTCAGACATCTACATCACACATGTCATCCAAAATTCTGCATTAAACCTGTATCTGCCTGTGCTGCAGAGCATGTATTCTTGTCCAAGGTCTAGAGAATGTCTGAAATGGTACACAAAATTGTGCAGACAAGAGAACAGATGGAGTATTTGTAAGGAGAGTGTTCACAGCTCTCATCAAAGGGCTCTGTGACCTCACACCATGTTAAGGACCAGTGTCTCAGAGGAAGAAATAAAACTTACAGGTCATGGTATTAATAATGTATTGAATTACTTGCTCTTAAACCAGTGTTTTCTAGAGCATGTTCCAAGAAGCAATGGTATTGTAGCATGTCAACTGGTTGTTCACCAAAAAAGTTTCTATGGTCAAGTAACTTTGGGAATCACTGAGTCAAACAATTCGATTCTTCATAGTGGGATTTCTTGGGGGTTCACTATTATCTGTTACTGAGAGTCTCCCAGAGGGAGACAAGTATTTCCAGGATTTCCTGTCTAGATCACACACTAACTCAAATCCTATCTCCCCCCATGGAAGTTTCCATACATTGCCCCTTTAAACACAGCATATTTTTCACTGACTCATTTCACAGACTATACTTGGATAGAATTGGCCAATGGTTCTTGTGTAGTATTTGGGCCATAACTAGTCTCAAAGCATAACCTTGGATCCCTGGAAATCATGATTGCTGGGGAGAGGGATATACCTGGAATCACAGGCTATCGGTGTGAAATCTAATTTGTGTTTTGTTTGGAAAAGAAATGTTTTAGTTTGGAGCTCCAGGATGGTGAGAGGTTGGTGAGGCGTGGCAATGGCAAACAGGGTCAGCTGAGGAGACATGAGGATGCCGTCTTCTGACCTATTGTTCTGCCCGGGGAGGAATTTAAGATGGCCGTGGAAATTCAATTCCTAGAAAAAGAAGACCCCAAACATAATGAGCAGAGAAAAGAGGATGTTGAGTAGCTCAAACAGTGGACACAATTTCCTCCTATCAGAATCCAGAGGGGTCCAATATTCTGCTTCAAGTAGAATAGGGAGGAGGCACGTCCTTATGCACAAGTATGCATGGGCTTGGAGCCTCCTTATCGTAACCTGCTCCTTATCTTAATCCTGAATATCTTTCATGGTTCCTTAGACCTCCCTCGAGTTCCTGACCCATACAGCTCTTTCAAAGAATTGCAGAGTGAGTGTAGTGCTGCTTGAGTTTGCTGATTTTGAGGATGATGAAAATACTGTGAGTTCACCAGGGACCTTCACACATTAGCGATAATTAATCTCCAAGTGTTATGGATTGAATTATATCTCCCCAAAAATATGCCTGTGGTTATAACCCCATTTGGGAACGGGTTGTCTTTGCTATGTTAATGAGGCAGGATCAGTATAGGGTGTATCTTGAGTCAATCTCTTTTGGTATATGAAAGAGATGAAACAACCTAGCAGACCAGAGATGGAGGGAGAGAGATGCCAAGCCACAGGAAGTTCACCTAGGAGCAGAAGCTCACAGAGACAAGGACCTTCCTCCAGAGCTGACAAAGAGACAAAGACTTGTCCTATAGCCACCACCCTGAATTCAGACTTCTTGTTGTTGTTGTTGTTATTTGCTGTTGAGTTGGCCCTGACTCATAGCGACCCCTCCTTGGGTTTCCTAGGCAGTATCACTACGGAAGTAGGATTGCCCAACCTTCCTTCCGAGGAGTGGCTGGTGGGTTTGAACCGCCAGCCTTCTGGTTAGCAGTCAATTGCCTTAGGCACTATGCTACCAGAGCTCCTAATCCTGTTATAGCAGCACTAGATAACCAAGACACAAAGTAAATGTGTCCAAGTCTTAACTGGGTAGAGGAAGGTTCAAATGACAGCTCAGTGGTTAACTGGTGGGTTCTCTGAAATAGCAGTGGGCTAAAGGTCAAAAGGTACTTCCTGGGTTTGCAAAGAATCCTGGGCCAACCCTTGGGCAGTGTTTTACTGAACAGAGTCACACACACCCTTAGAAAGCCCCTGACCCTGTAAGGATGGTGTTATTACCAGAAATCCAGAAGAATTGTCCAGTAGGCAGCGGAACCGGCAGACAAAGCTTCTCTCCAGATAGGGAGAGTCTTCTAAGGGCAGATGCTGATGGCTGTCAACAGAGGCTCTAGTGAAGGGTGGGAATTCCTCTTGAGGCAGAGCTGGGAGGAGAGAGAAACAAACTGAGGAAAGTCAACCAGAACAATCATTGTCACAGAGTTGAAACGCTACAGTTCTGGAAGCAGCTGGTGGGTACAAAAAATGTGGGTCATAAGCCCTGTGGCCAAGTGAGTTTTGGCCTTTACCAACATGGTAACCTTGATGATCAGTCATTTAGGCTAGCTTTCTCATTCATCAAATGATGCTACTAGTCTTGCCTGGTAGTCTCTCAGTGCTATGAGGATCATGATAAATATGAGACAATACACATTAACATATACATCTGCCTATCAGCAACACCATTGGCTCTACTGCTGACATATCCTTAGGCCAACTACTTTTCATCACCTCCAATTCTACTGTGCTGGCTAGTGCCCTCATTGTCAGAAGGACACCACCACAGTTGAGAGCATAGACTCCGGATCCAGACTTGAACCTCACCTGTTGTATGACCCTGGTTAAGTTATTTACTCTCTATGTCTATGGGTCCCAGTTTTGTCATCTGAATTCATAACGTTGCTATGAGAATTAAGTAAATTTATATATGTAAAGAACTTGGAGTATGCCAGGCACACTATAATTTCTCTATACATCTTGGCTGTCACTATCATTATTTTGTTTTCTTACTGTAATTTTGCCATAGCCTCCTAACTGGTGTCCCTGCTTCCATCCTTGCCCCCTACAGTATATTCTCCACTCAGTAGCCAGACTGACATTGTTAAAACATAAATCAGATCAAATCATGTTACTCCTTAAAATTCTCTAGTTAGTTCCTACCTCAGTCTTTATACTGATCTGCCCACTTCCCACTCTTTCACCCATCTCTTTTTACCTCTCTGCACCCTTTTCAGTGGCCTTCTAGCTATTCCCCAACTATGCTAAGTGTATTTCTGCCTCAGGACCTTTGTGCTTGCTTTTTTGTTCACCTGCATTGTTCTCCCCCATTTATCCAAACCACTATAAACAGTAGCATCCCCACCCCATAACTTCTTCCTTGCTCTTTTATTTTTCTCACCAGAAATATTACATATTTATTCATCATTTAGTTTTGATACCCTTATTAGAATTAAGGTCAGTGAAAAAGAGAAAGACGCTCAATGAGATGGACTGACACAGTGGCTGCAACAATGGGCTCAAATATAGGAACAAGGATGGCGCAGGACTGGGCAATGTTTCGTTCCGTTGTACATAGGTTTGCTATGAGTCAGAACTGACTTGACAGCATCTAACAATAACATTAGGGTTAAAGTACCATCAGAGTAGGAACTTGGACTATTTTCCTCACTGATTTCTCTCTAGTGCTTAGAATAGAGCTTGGCACATACTGGGTACTCATTCAGTAAATATCTGTGAACTGACTGAACAAAGTGCAATAAAAACGATGATTTGCACATTCTTGTTTTCTATAATGGATGTCAGTTACTGCCAGTTTATCAGGAAAAGAAAATGCTATGCCCAGTGAGGTGACTTGATAGTCTCATCTACCAAGAAAACGCACTTCCGTGGGGGATGTGGTCTCATCTTTTTGGGAGTGCGCTTCAGCCTCCTCTCTATCCCTCTCTCATGCATTTGTAGGGAAGTCCTTTAAACAGGTAATAATAAGAAGAAGAACAATAATAATAAGAAGAGGAAAACCAAACACTTGGGATTTTTGTACGAATTGAGCTTCGTTAGAAAGTCAAAGTTGCAAAATCCAAATCTGTTCTGTTGTGCTGCAATTCTCAATCTGACAGATCATGTTTACACTGATGATTTTCCTGTGTCACATGAACATGGACTGATCTAGACTCAGCTGCGGAAGAAAAAAATGAAAGTAGGCTGTGGTAGTTTAGAAACCCTAAATATTTTAATGGGAGCAATGATGGGAGGGCTTTGATTAGCAAATAATCTGATCGTTCTTCTATAGTCTCATAATAAAGCCCCTAGCACAGTGCTTAGCACAGGATACTCTCAGTAGATGTTATAACATCTAATGTATGTGTATAAAGCACACATCAACCTGAATATCTTTAGATGTTTTTCTGGCATGCCAATGGCACTGTTATAAAAGTTTTAATTGTATTTTAAGGAAAATTGTCCCACTTATTTGTAAACATGGGTAGACTACCACATGGTTCCTGCCTACTGCAGGGATGTACAGGTAACAAAATATGAAATTATGTATAAAACCTCAGAGTATCCATTGTTAAACAAACAATTCAAACTTGCTAGTGTCATGAAGTGTACCCAAGTCCAGTGCTCATGGTGGCATTCACAAACATATTTTGACTGTGGTTTAAAATACAGGCTTCACATACCATAGAGCCTGTGCTAATAAACATGGAAAAATTTTCATTTCAATATTTTTTCTATTTAAAGATGTTACAGGGTTTTCTAGTTACAAATTTTATTTCCTAAACCCCCACATGGAGGAAAAACATATTTACAATACTCTTCTTACTATAGGAGCCCTGGTAGCTTAGTGCCTAAAGCACTTCACTGCTAACCAGAAGGCTGGCGGTTCAAACCCACCAGCCACTCCTCAGAAGGAAGTGGGTCAATCTACTTCCGTAGTGATACTGCCTTAGAAACCCAAGGAGGGGTCGCTATGAGTCAGGTCCGACTCGATGGAACATAACAATAACAACTTCTTAATATGACATTTCCAATTAATATTTTATTTTGGAGTTGGAGAAAGGAATGGAAAATTCCAAAAAAGTGAAAACAAAGATTACCACAGTACACTGTAAATTCACCACAGGGTTTGCTACCTCAAAGTACATTATTCATACCTTCTGATATCTCCTTACATAAAAACAGGCATAAATGAAAGTAATGGAACATACTAAAAATTATTCCAGATGACTATTATTTTGTATTTATTTAACTCCAAAATCCTGTGAATGAAGTAAGATAACTCAGTGAACTCTTGATCTTATTGCCTTTGAACAAATGCCAACACTATTAGCATACAGGTATTCAATTTATTCAACAAAGAAACTGTTGGGCTGATATTGACATAATTTTCAAAGTGTTGTCAAATATTTTAGGTTTACATATGAAAATATAGTTGGAACAAGAAAGTATTAATTTATTTAAGGAAGAAATGAGATAAATACAAGGAACCGCTAAGTTAGAGGCAGTAGCAGTGCAGATCCTAGCAAGAGCTGAGAGAGACAGCTCTGTCGCTGTTGTGTCTTAGCCTTAAACTACCTTGGTGGCTTTAGAAAGGACACCTACCCACTCTGAGGCTTTGTTTCTAGAGCTGTGAAATAGAGAGATCAGGGTAGATGCTCACTACACTCCCTATAGCCAAGGTTGAATTTCAGACCATCTATTCCCTCCTCCTTGTCCCAGCCAGTCAACATAGATAGGGGTTGGAGCACCGAAAAAGTCCCCACAAAGAGGCCCAAAGCTTAGTGTAGAGGACTAGGTTTCTGTCTTCAAAGAGCTGATAATCTGATGGGAAAGAAAAGAGAAATAAACCAAAGATAACTTTCGTGACAAATTTACCCAGCTCTCATGGCTAATCCAGATATGACCTTATTTGGAGAGTTTGGAGTGGAAGTAGGGTTTGGGTGAGAAAGAATGAAATGGTCACAGTAGCCATAGCTAATCTGAATTAAAAGCTGGGTCTCACAAAGTTATGCTACCATACTCTGTAGTCAGTCTCATAAGTTTATTTTTGTTTAATATATTAGGCTCCCTACCACAAAAAGGATATCAATATTAGTATACAAACATTGACACATGGCTTCATTTTTTTCTAGGTCAAATTTCCTTTTTTTTTTTAAGTATTCCATTCTTGTCTGACCATTCTTCACATAAAAACAGAGAAGGTCCTTTTCCTGTATCCTATGTGGAATCATGAAATGTACATTGTAACCCTCAGAGAGGGTACCTGTGCCAGGGTTGACAAAATGGCATTTACATGTAAACAACAACATTGACTTTTGCCTATGGTTTTCCACAAGCCAGAAGAGTAAACACATGCCAGCACACAACTGGCCACCTGTCTTATGTATCCAGCAGGTGCACAGATGTGTGTACCCTGACAGTCTGAACACGGTTCAAGTATGTATCCTATCTCTGCAGCCAGAATAGTCCCTCCAGCATGAGTTTTGCCATTCACAAGCTGAATCAAACTGGTCAAGCCCTAGTCTCTTCATCTGTATATTCTTTCATTCAAGCAAAGAATATTTACTGAGTGCTTATTTTGTATCAGGCACATCAGTGAAAGAGATATTGAAAAATCCATGCTGGCATTCTACTGGTAGTAAAGACAACAGAAATCCATTCCCTATTCCTGCTGTACTATTATTAGGATGATCGAATGAGGTCACAGCCATGAGAGGTGTCTGTAAGATGCAGAGCCTGTACCTCCAATGCTACCTCATTCCTCAAGTGCACTGCTATGTCCTGTCCTCCTTTCTTGCCTTCATGTACCTGAAACACAGTGAGTTTTCCATCAATTATTATTTAATGAAATATACATTCTAGCTGAGAAGCAAAGCCTAAATCTCTAGTCTAATTTCTTCCTCTTGGCCAATAAGGTTCAGACACTGTGGGTCAAGACACACATACGGGGTTGATGTGGCTTCCCAGCCCTCTTCCCTCCAAGCCTCAGTAACTTACGGCTGGTGTCCTGCTTGGCTTCTCTGCTGATGGGTTTTGGGTCTGGTGACCAGTGTAACTGGCTCTGGAACATGTGTCTATCCTCCTTGTGGATCAGCTCAAACACACTCTGATAGATGACATCTGACTGCAAAGACAAAGGGGCAGCATCACACTTGTGGGGCTGCTTCCTCCCTTCCAAGGCCACAGCAAGGCCTGCTCACCCCAAATGTCCCTTCCCTGCGTTAACCCAGCCCATTTGATGCCCTTCGTGGATGACCCACCATCCTGGCCTCACTCATCCTTGTACCTCCTCACCACTGGGGACTGGTGCATGTACTCTGTCCCTAGTCCCTCATAACGTCTTGCATAGCCTGTCTTCTCAGGCTGCTGCTGTCCCCAGACTTGGGAAACATCTCATGAAACAGGCACTTCATGGAGTGACTTCACAGGTGATAAGTCACAGATAAGTAACAGGGATATGCCTGATATGGGGACACTCATAGTCAGCTATTAAAATCACCCCTCAGAGTTGGTTTGAAGCTCAATGGAAGGAGGTTGAGCTTCCCTGGAAAGCTATCATCAGAATAACAAAATTAAATGGATTTAGGGAAAAAAAAAATCATTGTTGAAAGAGGTGAGAGAATATAGGACTTCTGGTAAGATGGCAGAATAGACAGACAAGCTACACAGGCCCTCTTCAACAAAGAAATGAGAAACCAATTGACACAGATACAGAAGGTAATCCTGGAGCTGAGTTTTGAAAGGAAGGATTCAGAAGTGGATTAAATACTAACTAGTAGAACAACCTGAATGAAAACACTGAATAAGGAGACAAATAGAGCTGCGGACTGTCAGCTATCCAGATGGCATGGCCAGTTTGAATATTTACAAGTGGTGTTAAGACCTGTACCAATTAGTTCAAAATCAACCCTGCTCGCCAACAGCTGAGTGGACAACTGCATTGATGGCTGATGACTGAAAAAGGAAACAGCAAGAGACAAACTGAGTAGTGGACTTCTGGCTGTCCAGAAGGTGCAGTGATTCTGAATATTTATTTACAAGCCACATGCCATATTGGACATTTAAAAAAGCAGTGTTTGGATCCCAGTGACCTAAGAATAGGCTCCAACAGCATGGGCAACCATACTGGAGGTCTACAACGGGGAAGGTGTGATATTCCCTTTGTTACTCTTATACCTCACACCCTCTTTGTGAATGGAGGTGTGGCCATCCCCAACCTCCACCCACCTTCTGGACTGACAGGAATTCCATCCCAGTCTGTGTGCTCCAATGGAGCCAAAGTGCCCTGCCCTATCACTCCCTGCCCCCTGGAGTTTTGTTTTTTGTTTGTTTTAAAATTATCCTTTTTGTCTTCCTTTTTATTTTTATTCTTTATTTTTCCTTTTCCAGGTTCTAGGCTTATTTATTTATTTTTTCTCTTCCCTTTTCCTAGTTCCTATCTTTTTTCTTTCTTTTGGTTCTTCCCATCCCTTGTTTTTCTTTTTCTATTTTTCTCATTATTTTTCTTTATTATTCTTTTACTCTAGCTCTTATCTCTTATTCCCCTCCTCAGATATTGTTTTTTTCTTTTTTCTGTTTATATTTCTTTTGTTTCTTTAAAAATATTTCCTTAAATATTTCTTCTCATTTATTGCCTTGCCTTTTTTTTTCTTTTCTTTTTCTTTTTGGAGATTGTTTCTGTGTGTTTATGTGATATGCATTTTTTGTCCTCTTGTTTTTACTTGTTTGGTGGTTTTTTTTTTTTTTTTTGTTTTTTTTTTTTTTGTCTGAGTGGAAGACAGCAACCATGCCCATATGATCTAACCATACCCACACCTCCTGCAGCTCCACCTACTGAGTAAGGGCCACCATTTACTTCTGCACCAACTAGCCAATGACAGATTACAGCCAATATGACCCCAACTCACCCTTAACTGCTCATCAAAAACAGCTAACAGATATCTGTGCACGCACTCTCATTCTTTATCACACACACCCACTAGGACAGGTGGTGAGTGCGTAAGTGCTGCCAACTAGTGAATATAGGAGCACAGTGCCCTGCTGACTCAGATATATCAACACAAAACAAAGAAAAAAAATCTTGGGTGTAACCCACCAACATACAATCACCAATTAAATATTAATAGAATGATGCCACAATGTCTCAGAGACAACAGACCATCTAAGTCCATACAAAGAAGCAAGATAAAGTAGTAGAAACAAAGGACCAGGACAGAGACACAGAAAAAAGCCCTGAGGAAGAAGCAGCATTGAACTCCCTGATAAGGAATTCAAAAGAGTTATATTTAGGCACCTTCAATGAACTGAGATACAGATCAAGGAAAACACTGACAAAATTGAGGAAAACACAGAGAAAACCTTAGAACAATTTCAAAAGACAACACAAAAACAAAATGACAAGATAAATGAAGAATTAGAAATGATACAAAATCTACAGATAGAAATCCAGAAGAGTAATACTAAAATGTCAGAAATAGGTAATACCTTGAAAGGGCAAAGGAGAAGAATTGAATCAATGGAAGACAGAATTTATGAGTTGGAAGGCAAATACCTCAATACTACTTTGGTAAGGGATCAATCAAGAAAAGATCAAACCAAAATGAAGAAAGATTTATGTGGGATAGCATCTAGAGGAATAACCTGTGTGTAATGAGAATTCCAAAACAGGAAGAGAAAAATAAAACCACAGAGAAAATTGTTGATGATTTGTTGGAAGGATATTTCCCTTGATATGATGAAAGATGAACATATATCCATTCAAGAATTTCAACGAGCCCCAAATAGTATAGACTTCAAAAGAAAATCACCATGCCATATCATAACCAAACTCACCAAAACCAAAGACAAAGAAAGAATTCTGAGAGCAGCATAAGAAAAACAAAAAGTTACCTACAAAGGGCAACCAATAAGACTTAGGTCAGATTTCTCAGCAGAAACCATGAAGGCAAAAAGGTAATGGGATGGTATATATAATGAACCCTGAAAGAAAAAGATTTCCAAACAAGATTTATATACCTGGCAAAACTGTCCCTCAAATATGATGGTGAAATTAGGACATTTCTAGATAAGCAGAAATTAAGGGAATTTGTTAAAACCAAGGCAACCTTACAAGAGATGCTACAGGGAGTCCTTTGGACAGAGAAGCAACAACAGCAAACAACAACTGACAACTGACCATTAACACACATAATGACATAACCCAGAAACTGACCCAATTATGGAAGTATCCAAAGTAAAATAAGTTACAAGACTGTAAACAGGGTACTAGAGGCACTGGTAAATGAGGAAAACTACGAAGCAAAAGGGAGCCTTCCTTAGAATTTCGTTTCCCTAATCTACTTCCGAAGGAGCTCTGGTAGCGTAGTGCCTAAGGCACTTAACTGCTAACCAGAAGGCTGGCGGTTCAAACCCACCAGCCACTCCTCAGAAGGAAGGTTGAGCAATCTACTTCCATAGTGATACTGCCTTGGAAACCCAAGGAGGGGTCACTATGAGTCGGGTTCGACTCGACGGCACATAACAACAACAACAAAGCAAAAAGAGGGAAAAAATAGTGTAGTTACAGAACTTCTAAATGATGAGGAAGTTAAGACAATTTTGAGATAGAAAGGACTGTACTAAACTTTGGAAGGAAATTATAAATCATAGGGTAATGTCAAAGAAAAATAATAAACGTTCACATCAAAATGAAAAGAGGACAAGCACAAATATTTAGCAAATACTAAAACAATAGCAATGAAGGAAGTGATAACACAATTCATAAACAACAAGAGCTTAGCACAGAAAATTATATGTAACAAAGAAAACAGCAACACCATGAAAAACACATAACAAAACAACAATAATTACACTGAATGTAAATGGATTAAATGCACTACTCAAGAAACAGAGAGCTGTAGACTGGGTAAGAAAACATAACCCATCGATATATCATCTACAAGACATACATCTTAGAGATAAAGACAAAAATAGACTAAAAAATCAAAGGGTTAAAAAAGATGTATCAAGCAAATGATAATCAAAAATGAGCAGATGTGGCAATATTAATTTCTGATAAAATAGACTTTAAGACAAAAACAACCATAAGAGACAAGAAAGGACATTATATAATGATTAAAGGATCAATTGAACAAGAGGACATAATCATAATAAATATTCACACACCCAATGAAAGAGCCCCAAAGTACATAAATCCGACTTTAACAGAATTGAAAAGACAAATAGGTTACTCAACAGTAATAGTGGGAGACTTTAATACACCACTTTCAATGAAAGATGCAAAAACTGGAAAGAAACTCAAAAAAGACACAGAGAAACTAAGCAATACAACCCACCAAATGACCTTATAGACATCCACAGAGCACTTCACCCAACAACAGCACAATATACATTTCCAGGGTATAAGGAATATTCTCCAAGATAGACCATATGTTAGAGTACAAAGTAAACCTCAATAAATTTATAAACATTGAAATATTGCAAAGCATCTTCTCAGATCACAATGCTATAAAATTAGAAATCAACAATAGGAAGATCAATGGAAAAAGAGCAAACACATGGAAACTGAATAACACCCCCCTTAAAAAGACTCGGTAATAGAAGAAATAAAAAATGAAATAAAAAAATTCCTTGAATCAAATGAGATTGGAAACACAACATACAAAAAACCTTTGGGACACAGCAAAAGGAGAATGATCAGAGGGCATTTTGTAGCAATAAATGCACACATCAAAAAAGAACAGCCAAAATCAACATCTTACCACAACTTCTCCACAATTAGAAAAAGAGCAGCAAAATAAGCTGACAGTCATCAGAAGAAAAGAAATAAAGATTCGAGTATAAATGAATGGAACAGAAAATAGACACTAGAAAAAATCAGCAAGACTAGAAGTTGGTTGTTTTTGAAAAGGTTAACAAAATTGACAAACACTGGCAAACTTAACAAAGGAAAAGAGGGAGAGAATACAAACAAGAAATGAATTGGGAGCTCTGTTGGTGTAGTGCCTAAGGCATTTGACTGCTAACCAGAAGGCTGGTGGTGAGAACCCACCAGCCACTCCTTGGAAGGAAGACTGGGCAATATACTTCTGTAGAGATACCACCTCGGAAACCTATGCAGAACAG